CTAGGAGGTAATTTAGATAAGAACCACCAACTTCACTAAGAGCTGACATAACTGATTTCTGAGGAAAGATATGCAGAGCTTTCCTAAAGGATGTCTCACAGCATATCAGGGCACAGGGTGATAGGAAGGCTCTACTGCTTATAAGGATTTGTTTCCTTAGAAAGGAAGAGTATCAAGAGGGGAAAAAAAAATGGATGAAACTTATTGATAGGCAAAAATTCAGAAGGGTAAAATTAAAAGAAAAAGGACTAAATATTTTCAGTAGCTACAGTAATTTAACATAGAATAGTTTTGCTAAGAACTATGTTAAAGATATGTGGCTATGACACCATGAAACTAGATGCAGGTACATTAAACTTTAATGGCTTTTTTCTGCCTTCTTTTTATCATATGGGAGCTCCATATGATGTTATTATACTTACGTTGTATTCTTATCCAAACCACTAACATTACATGTTAATAAGCTTGAAAAGGCACTTATCTGGTTTTGCTTGGATTGTTTTTGAGGCAAACCCTGTTATTAAGCTATGAGGCCCCAGAGGGGACATAGACCCAAGTATTGCCTAATGCTCATTAATCTCTTTCTGTATGAGCTGCTTCACTGCCATTGCTAAAAATGCAAATTCCTGAAAGGTGAGCAGGGCATATTATTGTACAAAATTAAAGGGTATAAGCCCACTGACAAGATTCTTTAAGCAGACATCCAAAATGCTGTATTTGTTAGAAACATGAGCAAAAACATAATGATTTGTTTTCTGCTGGATGCTGCAGGTGCTGAGGAAATGGAAGGAAAAGTCCAACATCTGTTTGTGCTCTTCCAACAGCATTGTACCTTTCAGAGCCAGAAAAGAGAAAGAGAAATCTCTTGTGTGAAATCTCACCTCAAGTCCTCAATTCCCTGTTGCTGCTTCTCCTTAGAAAGACATCTGGATTAGAGTGATAAAGAATACAATATAAAGTCCCAGAAGAATTGTAAATAAGCAAGTGAAATGGGAATATCTGAAAGGCTCTGGCAATTTCATTTTAATGATGGCAAGCATGGAGTTAAACAAAAATAATAATAATAATTATAAAGAGAGATGGACAAATGTCAGAAGGGAAAAAAATTAAATTGAGATTTAGCTGGAAGTGGTGAGATAAAAGCAAGACAAGCACCTGGCTATATAAATACAGTAGTTACTTGAAATAGAATGCCTGAGAGTGTTTTATTAAAATTGGACTTTTAATGTAAAAGCAGGGTCTTATTTAATACATATTCCTCCTAAAGAATTAAAGCGTCCTCTGTCCACATAGGCTGCATTCCAAGGTTATCAGAAGAACTGTTGCTATGGGCTGAACTCAATTTAGCACATGCTTTTTGTATGGTGAGTGGATGTGAAGGGGATTCAGCAACACAAATCTGTCTGTGTTCTGAATGTAAAATGAACTTTTGTTAAAGATCTTGCAAACCTCAACTACAGCTGCACAATACTGATACAGCCAGGCAGGAGACGATGGCCTGTTTGTGTCTATTTGAACTTTGTATTCATCTTTTAATAACAAGGAATGATACCTACAGCGATACACCAAACAGGAAGACATAAGGAACCAAATCCCTACATATTTAATTATCTTAATATTGTGTTTAACATAAAATTTACCAGTGTAATGCCTTTTAACATAAGAAAATACTGTGTGTCCAGGAGATTTTTTAGTAATGATTATGATCAAGAAAACTTCAAACTGCAGGCAGGAGGTTAGAAAAGCCATGCATTATAACAAAAATGCATTGTTAGGGTCCACAGAAATATGTAATTTCTCTGTTAAGGGAAAAAAAAAAAAAAGATCCCATCATCATCTGAAAACATGGCTTAACATAGGAATAAACCATGAATAAGACAATTTGCAAAAAGGCCTATCATTTGCCTGCCCCAGGTATTTGTGCCCTCAGTAGTTGCACTTTTCTCTGACAGGAGATAAGACTGTTCTCCTGGCCCTGTTAACGTTCATGGAGATTGTTCAAGAACCAGTTTTCTAAAGGGGATGATTACAGAAATCAGAGAATCATCATAATATAACAACTTCTAATGATATTCTTGCTCCAGTTCAAATCTCTCCCCCACAGGGAATTTCTGAGACGCATCATAAGTGGCATTCAAATTTCAACCAAGTAAGACTTCACTATAGCAGAGACAGAGCAAGATATTTTATATGGGACCAATGCAAAAGACATGCCCTACCAATCAGTCCAGGATTTAAAATATGTTCTTATATTTATACATTCTGTGATTAAGAAAACAAAGACGTGTTTGATATTGCCTAGAAATATATATTTATATTTTTTTAAGTAGAAATTGAATTCTAAACATATTCTTTTCAACCATTCACATTTAAGGTTTATATTTCCTGGCATTTTTATGACTGTTCGTCCACCTGCTCCCCTTCCCTCTGCCCCTCTCTTCCCCCAGGAACTCTCAGAACATATACCATATTTTTCTTTTGCCAGAAAGTGAGAAGGGAAAGATGGACATGGTTGACCTAATAAGGCAACAAAAGACAGTATCCGATGCTTTTAGCTCATCCCACTGTTGTGGTTATTAGTTACTTAGTTCAGTAGGGTCTGGAGCTTATTGACATTTCGGTCTCCTGTTCACTTCAGGCACACATTCTAATCAACTCTTGTTACGGTCACATAAGTGGCTGGAGGCAGTTCCCCTGAAAATTCATTGTTTTTAGATCCATTTCTATATAATCAGAGCTCCTGCGTCAGCACTCACAAGAAGATTGTTTCAGCAGCTAAGTTGTTATGAAGCGGGGATATTGCTTCCTAATCAAATCTCACAAATTCAGAATTACCCCAGTGGCCAAGAGTGCCTGGGTAGAAAACCAAGAGTAGCTCAGAGCTTGCTTAGCTTGTGTCTTCATCCCCAGTGCTGATCTTTTCTTGAACCTGGCTCTTAATCTGGGACTATCAGGTTATTTTCTCCAGCCTTTGCTTTGAATTGCACACAACATTTATGAGATGTCCCATATGGAATGAGCCCAGAAGAGTACAACGTAACACACTATCTGGAGTCAACAAGGTTCAATGCTACAGTCTACAAGCTAAGACTTGTATATGCTACATGAAACTACAGCAAGAGCCAGCTCTTTTCCTTCTCTGGAGCACAGTGAAGAGATTCTTTCCCTTGTAGGATTTCTAGCTTGATCTTTGCAGAGTTTTCCCATGCCAAGTCATATAAAACACAATAAAGATTTGCTGCAGAGTTTGTGGCAAATTGTGCACATAAGTCACCCATCAGGTTGTAAGTATTTTTGTTAGTAATGTGGAGAATAACATGTAATTACAAGATAGTCACATTCGTGATCATTAAAATAGAGTTCTATGTAATAGACGTGTTATGTTGTGATAATTTGTCACACTTTTGAGCATGCATCCATCTCTGAGTAAGCATGCCTGAAGATATTTTCTGTAAGACAGGTACATCTCAGCGTTTAGAACAATAAAAAGGCTCTTAAATTCAGTACTTGTGCCTTTTTATGCATGAAATTGTACTGAGCTTCTTTTCCTTATATACATATAAGAAAGAGAGAGAGCACATTCACTAGAATGTTAAGTACTGCATTCACTAAAGTTAACTTAAGGAAATCAAAACTAGACAGCACTGGGGAAAAAAAATAATTTCAAATTCCGAGAATTTAAAATCAAAAGCAGATCCCTGTATTAGGATTCTGCTGGAATAATTCAATGTGTGAGAACAGAACAAAGAAGCTCCTGCCTGAGAAAACAAGTGGCACAAAAGAAAAGGAGTATTTCATAAAATAATACCGTCACCCAGAAGCAGACTGTTACTAGAATCAAAAGAGTTCACTGCATATATTAAGGCACAGTCTAGATACTAACACACAAATGTCCACATTAAGCAGAAAGTAAAGGGCATGAGATAATGAAGTGAAGGTGGGCAGGTGAATCCTTAAGAAGCAGGAAAGAAACAGCAATCAACTGCAGCAAAAGCGCAACAGCGGAGTGAGGGGTGGGTGGAAGACTGGCCTTTACCCTGAATCCCAACAAAAGAGAGAGAACATAAATGAGAGGAAATAAACCTTCCAGGTGCCCTGCAGGGATGTCATTGATTCAAAGCATCATTTGGTTTTCACATAACTCAGCTCACAAGCAAGCAAGATGGCTTAAATGAAAACGGAGTGTGGCTACTAGGAAGGAGCATCAGGGAAAAAGTTGGTTTTTACATTCCCTCTGTATATATTTATTTCTGTCAGAAGGAACCCTAGTCATTTTCTTGGCATCTCAGGGTGACCTGAAAAGTTATTCTTCAAGCTGTTTTCCTTTCCTGTATCACAACTCTTCCTCCATTCCATATGATTCAGGGTTTCTGTTCTGTTTTTTTTTTTGAGATTGTCATTTGAATAGAGTTTCTAAGCAGCACATGGATTGCCACACTGGGAAAGGTTACTTTCAACACCCTTGTGCACAGCTGTGAGACTCAGTGGATGCATTTATCCACTTTATATATGCCTCGGTATGGTGGCACAGCTGGCAGTATTTTCCTATTTAGGTGGCAGCAAAGGTGCTTTAAGATATGAGCCACAGCATCATGTTGTTAATTGCCCCACTGCCTGCTTGAAAGGTGGAAGTCTTTTTTGTCTTGACTTTGGAGCAAAGAAAGGAACTATAAAGTTTCAGTGGTGCAAGCAACCCAGTTGTTTCCTCAGAAATGTACAAATCTTGATCAGGAAAACAAATATTTCAAACAATGCACCCAGGGAATAAGCTCAGGCAAGTTATAGCCATTCTTGGAGAGTCAGAATCTTTCAAAAGCATGAGAAGTTTTGCTTTGTTAGGATTGCTGGTGTGCACATGTTGCAAAGCATCAAAAAGAAAGAGGTCTGGCATGGTTTCTTAGAGCTGAATTGCTTACATAAAAGGCTTATGAAATTAGATCCTTACTCCATAATCAAAAGACTCTTTACAATGATGTAAAACAAAATGCTTTCACAGAGTGTATAAGTCATTCTTGTATTTTATCTTTGTACCCCATCTCCTTTAATCTCATTGCATGATGTGGACGTCAGGTGAGTCCACAAGCCTTTCAGCTCTGCAAAGGCACTACCTGAAAAGAAAAATAAAAGAAAAAAAAAAAGAGAAAAAAAAAAGAAAAAGAAAGAAACAAGAAAACCATCGGTGATGACATACATGTCAGAAGTAGAAACTCTTGTAGAATTATTCCCTTCCTTTGACTATTTTCTTTGTTTCACAATGATTTCAGCACCATTTCTAAATGGTGGTATAACATAGTACAGAAATATAATCTATACCTTTGATAGTTGAACTAACAAGGTTAGTTTACTATCTTTTATTCTTAGCATACCTCCGAAAAGTATAGGGTAGACTAGATGTACAGCTGAATGCTGCTGATCATCATTAGATCAGCATCATTTAGAGTATCATTTGGCATCCATTCAAATCTCTTACAGAAAGGTAGCAAATGATACGAAATACTAACCTGGAGTATTTGGTTTTGAGCTAATTAACAGAGGAACAGAAATCAGAGAAAAGTTCTGATTAGCAAAATCACAGGCCCTAATTTTTTCCTAAGAAATGACACATATTTAGAGGACTTCGGATCATCTTAGTTCGCATTTTACTGTGTTTTCTTACTCCTCACTCACCTTTGTAGGCTTCCCTCTTCTTTTGCATTATTCACAGTACTGCATAGCTCTCAAGGAAGCTGAAAGTGAGCGTATTTTAACAGTAAACTAGAAGAAGGATTTTAACCATCAAAAAACACTTGACCTTCTGAAATGAAATCACTTCAGCTGGAGTACTGAAAGTCCAGAACATACCAGCTTTCAAGGCATACCTTATGATGGTTCTACATAGTCTGTACACAGAAGTAGAGAGAGAGTTTTCCAGAAAACGTCTCTGGGTTCTCAGTTGACAGAGCATTCATTTTAGGTCCTATAGGCGTATATTGTTATAAGTCCTGCTTCATACTCTTTATATTCTGAACTCTTAAAGCAGAGCAATTCTGAATGTTACAGCACGGACAGGGTGATCACATCCTAAACACTTCAGAAGCTTGTAACCATGATGCCAGCGGCTGTCAAGCGTATTTTTGACAGAAGTGTTAGATCTACTTTCTCTCCTCAATTACAATAAAAAATAATAGATGCACTGAGGGACATCCAGAGATTAAATTCAAATTCTGATGTTTACTTGAAACATCTCATTGCATTAACCATCTCACTTTGTTAGCTAACTTTGCCTAGTACCATTAAGTAACTGCGTTTTCTGTTCATCTGTGGAATCAATGTTATTTGTTACTTACTTGACTATGAAGAAACATGTAATGAGTCTCCAGGGATATTTTATGAGAAGGGCATAGGTGAACTTAATCTTAGCAAGGTGATTTATATTGAACTATTTACCTTTGTTAATTTGGGGTAAATAAAGATAAGAAACATGAATTTGGACATAGAAAACAGATTAACAAATCAAAGAACTGAATCTGCCTTTGCACCTGAAATATTTGTTCTCTTTATGCAGGTAAAAAGGTTCAGCCTGGCTTAGTGAAGCTCAGATGTTATTGGTGAAACCTTTTGTTCTCAGCAACATCTGCAAATGCTAAACTGTGAAATATCTTCCCTGTCCAGCCTCCTCTTACAAAACCAGCAGAAAAGCATGATTAATCAAGCATCAGCCTCTTTACACAGAACCCATTATCATCTTTAGGAATATTTGCTCCCCTAGAAGTGATTTTGTAAATAGTAATGCATGTTACTTGACACTGTCTCAGCAAATTTATTCCAAGCAACAGTAAGCCAACTAAGCATTGTAGGCATCAATAAGTAATCCAAGAACAAGGACAAATAAAAAATATACAAATAACAAACGATTCTTATAGCAAGATTTAATATACCATCACTGCTTAATCTGAAAGGCTACTGAGTTTAACTTGGGATATTTGAATTTCAAAATTCAGTAAGAAATCTGTTTTAGGTACTAGAAATCTATCAAGTAGGAATCAAAAAAGTATGGTTGTTTTCTTTTTAATTGGATATCCTGAAAGTAAATGCTCAATCTGCATGCTTTGAACCAGTTCTCCAGTTTGTGCAAAACCTCAGGAAGACACTTAGCTTTACATCTTTAACAGGTCTGGGATGTGAATGCCAGGAAGAATAAGACTTCATAATAGAAATATCTGCAAGTTTTTGTAGTATTTTAGTAAAGAGGTAAAGAAGACAGGCTGTTTATTGTAAGGCTCTTACTATTCTCAAATGCAGCATCAATCAGAACATCAGCAGCCCTTCTGGTATTTTGCCATTCCCCAAAACACTAGTTGAAAGACTGGATGTCATCTGCAACTTGGGCCGAACTGCAAAGCAATGTCCGGTTTGCTACGTCTGACTTTATGAAATCTGAAAAAGAATCCTGATTAGGTCTGGAATTCAATGGCATCTTCCGTTTCAATAAGAAACCGTTGAATTTAAATATGAATCTTTTGTGTTGCTCATTTTTGTCTTTTCAAAGTAGGCCTTATGGCTGTTGGGTTTGTGTTTCTTTATTGAAGATTTAGCTTTTTAGATTTTATTCCTTTTCATATGGCTGAAAAGACTTTAGCTAATTATTTTTGAAAGAAGCTTTTCTGCTTCACCTCTTTTAGATAGAGTTTTTAGCAAAGAAAAGAATGTAAAAATAAAGCAAATAGTGGGGATTCAATCTGACTGGTTTGTATAAGAGGCCAGAAAAGCCAGAAATATTCAAATCTGTAGCCATTCCTTCCCTGTAAACGTAGCTGAAAACCACTGCAAAATAAAGAAAAAAAAAAGAAAAAAAAAAAAAAAGAAAAAAAAGGAATGAGTGTTGGGAAATCTATTGATCTATTTTAAGAGAAGAGATTGGTTAACGTTGAAGACTCATCATAACAAAAGCTGAATTGAAATTATGCCGCTCAGGTTCCATTGGGAAGTTTGCTCCAGACAATCAACCTCAAAGACTCGTTTTACTCTCTAAATACCTAGATACAGGAACAATTAATCTCATTGTGCATTGGTGGGATGCATCTATAGCTGTCAGCTATGACTGTAATGTAACTTACTTAGACCTGCCTTGGGTTCATGCCAGCTAGCTCAGGTGTTGGTAACAATCCAGCTGAGAGAATAGGGCTAGACATTCAGTTCTTTCATGGTATCGCAGCTGATATTGACTGCCACGATACTGCAGCAATCAAGCTTCTGGTATTATGATTACACAGATAAAGCTAATTTGACTGTATTGCAGCAAACAGATTACAGGATTGCAGATCTATTTGGGAGAATGAACAAATCCAGGAACAAAAACGTATGGACATATCCCAGGTATGTAAGGGTACCATATATGTGTAGTTTGTAGAGTCAGGGATCTCCATTAATCTCTCTTGTGCCAGTTATTTCAGTTTTGTTCCTGTTCTTGCTGAAAAATTGGAAGGCTTGTTGCTGACTGCAATGGGCAAAATGTAAAGATAAGTTTTAAGGGGTTAAAAATGGCAAGAAACATTTTCCTTGGTAATCTGTGTGCCCTGGTCACAGCACAGCAGCATTGGGAGAGTTGTTTCTTTTGCCTTCTGGTGGGATCATTTATGAAACTGAAGTCAATGAAGCCATCTGGACAGCTCTTCACAGGGCAGAGGTAGCACCCTTCTCCAAAGAAGAAAAGACCTGGGAAAGTCCCATTTCAATGACAGGTTTACTAATGCCCTTCCAACAATGGCAACATGCTAAAGAGAGAGCCAGGCAAAGCAAACAGAGAATGTTTGAATGCTTTTGTACCATCTAAAACAGGAGATACTAAAACTTTGGGTTGAACACAACTTCACATTTCAAATAGCCTATGCAGAGGCAACAACAAGGTCATTTCAATAAACTGGGAAAGTCATTACTATCTTAGCACCAAGGTATTCGCCTAGCAATTCAGGAGGCAAGCTTAAAGTACTGATTATTTGGAACTAGTTGAAATAGTGCCTTTTTTATTACCTCCATGACAGGACTTCCTCTTCTGCACAGGCAGCTTTGTCAGTCCCCCTCTAACAGAGCTTTTCTTCCAGCTCTGCAGCAACCCATCTGCCAGGGTTATTATTCTTTTGTCACAAAGGAAATAACATTTCATTCCAAGGCACAGCAACGGATAACTATTTTTTAAAGCTAGCTCCTCATTTTTAATTACAATATATTTCCTAACCTAACACTCTAGAAAGGCTGCAAGAGTAATGAAAGATAATGCAGCTCTATATGCAGAGTGTAAATAAGCATTATTCATTCAGTCTTAAGGAGCAAACAGAAGTCCAAAACATTACCTTGAGAAAAAAACAATGACTCTTTTTAATAAATACGTATCTTCTTCAGCAAGAAATACTATGTTTATTAGGAAATCACAGTTCTCATGTAAAAAGGATATCCAGCAATTCTTTTCATTCCACACTATGTCTGTGTTATAGCCTCATAGGAAAATACTGGAATAATTTAATGGTGGGAGGTTTTTTTCTTGTTTTTGTTTTTCATATTATGTACTTATCTTCCAAAAATAGTATAATGGTAAGTCAAAATAACATCATACACCACTATCTGGAACATTAAATTACAGTATTTGAAAGCTGTGACTAAAACTATTTGCTACCTGCTGCAATCTGCAGAAAATATCACAAAAATGATCCAGTTACAGAAGACCATCACACAGAATCTGTTCCAGGGATGGGCAGTTTAGAAATGCACATGTCTGGTAGGAATAAAAGAGCTATCCCTCCTATTGGGAATCTAGAGGAAGAAAAAATAGGAACGGCTATTTCACTGAATAAGCTTGAACAAGCACTCTATGTGAAACATACATTTGTTTCACCACCATGTAAGACTGCAGTGGAAGTCACATCAGGTCCTTTTCCACTCTGGCTGCTTGCTCATATGTAACCTGTCCTGCACGGACACCTTACAGGCACAAAGCCTTCTACCAAGGAACAGTGCAGCTGTCTGTAACAATGCCCTCATGACAAAGCAAGCTTTTACGCATTTAAAAATACTTTTCTTGTACATTTAAGATTTTGTCAGTTAGAATCACAGTCACATGTGAGTCATAATCACAAGTTTGGTTCCAGACTTGGTCCCCTACTGTCAACGCTGCCTCTGCTTCCTGCGCTGTGGCTTCGCTTTCTGGCAGCGATAGGAAATTGTGACTTTTTCCAATGGGATCCAGCCTAGAGAAGCAGAAGGTTTCCTTTATTGCTTTCCATTCCCTGCATCTTTAAATTCCCTCAACGAATAACCCTGTGGCTTTACTGCCAGTTTTCCCACTTCTGCCTGCATAGATGCTTTAGACACTGTTTCTAATTGTCTCCTTGAACGTAACTGAAAGATGTAATTAGGTGTTTGTCTCTGAGCCATAGCTGTGCAGGCTGTGTGTATCCTAGCGCATATCCTGGCAGGAGCAGTCTCCCATAGACAGTCTGTGTTATTAGTCAAATTATAACTCTTTACTATCATCTGGTTAAAACAGAGGTTATATAGAAAACCTGACCCACACACCTATATTGATTAACTCCCAAAAGTGAGTACAGATGACAGAAAAAAAAAAAAAAGTTTGCAGTATACTGGCAAAAAAAGAAAAGCCCTGGTTAGTTTAAAAATGCATTTCTTCAAACTTTGTACACAAACAGCCAACTACTATACACTAACCATATTTCCAGTTTGAATTTGACATAAA